GCATGGAGCACTGGGTGTTATGCACAAACAATGAATCATGGAACACTTCATCTAGAACTAATGATGTAATGTATGGGGATTAACATAAGAATAAAAAAATAAAGAAAAAAAAGAAAAAAAAATGCCCTCCCTTTTGAGCCAAAAATCTGTCTTCTTATTACTCCTGCCCTCTGTTTTACTCTCTGCCTTTCAAAAGACCCAATCTACGATCCAGTTCTCTTCCTTTCCCATGACTGCCCTTAGGGTATTTGTCTCCCCTGACTTTTCTCCATACTGTACATTCCCAGGCGCTTTCTCCGTTGCAGGATTTCTAGCCTTATCCCCACCAGTCTTGCCATCCTCCCCTGGGAACCCTAGTTTTTAAGGTAGCCTTGCAAGGTGATACTCAGAGAAAATCTGCTTCTCACTGAAAATCAGTGCGTAAGGAAAGGTCCTTACCTGTCTGTTTACCTCTGCGTACCCCCACCCTAGCATAGCAGCTAGTACACAAATGTGTGTTCAATGAAGGAGTGAGCTCCCTCTCATGCTGACTGTTCTCGTGTCTCTAGCACATCCACAGCAAATTTCATTTAAATTGATGTTTAAATGTGAGGTTAAACATCTTTTTATAGACTGCCAAACTGAATCCCAGAAAAAAGGCAGTGATCACTGACCAGTGGTCTATCAGAAATAGAACTCCAGTCTTCCAGCCCTAACTTCTGACCCCTGGGCCAGTGGTTGCAAAGTTTCTTTAGTTTTAGCAGCAGGCCTCCTTGTTGCAAAGGTAAGATTATATGAAAACTCTGGGGTATAGAAGTGAAAACCAGAGCTGTTCTGCTAAAGCTGGGATGAGCCCCGAGCCCCACTCACTTGGCCTCTCTGTGGAGGCCACAGGGGCGCCATGGAGCCCAGCGGGAAAGCACCCCAGTCTCCCACACTGCCCTCGTCTTACCGAAGCAGCCCGGGCCTTGTCTGATCGGCCGTAAGGGCGCTAGGACCTGCTGCAGCACTGGGCATGATGCTGCATCTCTTTAGGAGAGATGGGATGCCATTGCCAGTCCAGGTGCCCCCCCTCCAGATTGCCAGGCCCCTCAATTCAGACTCCCTGTCTCAGCTGCCTTTCCTAGCATCGCTGAGGGGACGACACGCTGATTTGCATCAGCAGCCAGGGAGCCCCTGGTGCTGTCATAGTTATTCTTCACATCTGTGAGCTCAGGTGAGGCAAGCGGTACTATCCCTAGTGTTTGCCAGGTAAAATGAGGTCCAGAAAGGTGAGGTCGCCCTGCCAGTGCATGCAGAAATCAGCTTTTTCTTGAGTTATTGCAGAGGACTTGGGTTTGCCCTCTAACTCTGAGTGAAGAAGAAATAAAATGACAACTCCCCACCTTGGTAAAGTCCATCCCATTCCATCTTCACATGTGATGTTCTCAGCAAGACAGAGGGTGATTTTTTCCCCCATTTTACAGATGAGGGAGCTGGTGCTGAGAAAACAGACAACTTGCCTGGGATCAAACACCTAGTGAAAGGCAAGAGCTCAGGCCTAGAACACAGGCCTCCTGTCTGCTGCCTCGAGAGCCTGTTCTTGTCTCAAAAGTGGGACGCTGCTCTGGTCCTCTCTCCTGGAAAACAGGAATCTGAAAGCTCATCTGCTAAAAGGGGTGGGCTGTGGCTCAGGTGCCCAGAGCTGCTCCCTTCAGAACCATTTCTGGGGAAGGGTTTCATCAGTCCCACTCCCTAAGAGAAGGGCCAATAGCTGTCTCCTACTAGACTTGCCTTTACACCCTTGGTTACCAAGCAAGTTCAGGTGAGTATTAGAAAGGAGTCCTAGGGGGCACCTGGGTGGCTCAGTCGTAAGCGTCTGCCTTGGGCTCAGGTAGTGGTCCCAGGGTCCCTGCATCGGGCTCCTTGCTCAGCAGGAGGCCTGCCTCTCCCTCTCCCACTCCCCCTGCTTGTGTTCCTTCTCTCGCTGTGTCTCTATCAAATAAATAAATAAAATCTTTAAAAAAAGAAAAGAAAGAAATCCTAAAATCCTAAACCATCTGGCCACAGAGGTCTTACTGTGTGCCAGAGAGTGTGCTTGACTGTAGTGTTGATCACAGGCCCTAAGTGAGTCCCATCATTACCTAAACAGCTGACCTCTAAGAACAACCACGAAGGACGGTGGTGTGGCCCAGGAGCCAAGATGCCCTCCACCGGCAGAGACGCTGTGACCAGGGCTGGGGAACTGACCCGGTGCGGGCAGAGCCCAGTCATGAGAGGGAGCCTGCTTCAGGTTCTGGAGTGTTCTATCAGGGGCTGCCTGGTGTGGGGCCTCAGAAGACAGGGGTGTCCCAGGTTCTAACTGAGGACAATGTGGTTCCTGGAGAAGCACCTTGCCTACTGAGCGCCAGAGCGGAGTTATAACTCCGAGTCTGGTGTCCACGGCCCCGCTCTCACCACTGTACAAGCCCAGCTTCCTTGGGGCATTTCTGTTGAATGAGGCAAATACAAAAGGAGGGAGGGAACATAGGAGCAGACCCTTCAGAGACAGGCCTTTAGCCAGACACTGAAGAGAATTTCTGAAATGTCCTGCTGGCTGAGAGGGTCACCCTCTAAAGGACCCTCATCTAAGCAAGTGTATCTCTTCTCCAGCACCCCTGTCCCCTGGGCTGGCATCTCGTGTACAGGGAAGCAGCCTCTTCCTAAAATAGCTCTCTTTATTTTAAGGTTCTCCTTATCCAGAAAAAGCAAAAGACATCCAGACCAGAAGAAACCTCAAAGACTATCTAGTCTAAAAGGAAGAGTCTCTAAGGAGATCCAAGCCCAGGGAGTGACACTGGGCTTGACCAAGGCCACCTAGTAAAAGCAAGAACCATGACTAGTACACAGGCCTCCTGAGACACAGCCCAGGGCTCTCTGTTTTGCTGCCTCTTGCTCGATCCGAACAGGTACCTGGGAGGCCAGCGCCCTGGCAGTCCTTCCAGGCTAGTTCCTGCTCTAACTCCAGTTTTACTCTTTTCCAGGTGAAAGCTTTGTCCTGGGGAATAGTCTGACCCGGTCTTTGGAGCCACACTCAGACTCAATGGATTCTACCTTGAATCCCACCAACCTTGTCAGCAGCTCCCAAAACCTTCGAACCCACGGGTACCGGCCTTTGGTTCCATCCTGTGGCCTCCCGCTGAGTACCTCCTCAGCTGTGCGCAGGCTGTGCTCCAGGGGTAAGCTTACCCAGGTTCTCCCACCCTCCTTCTCTCTTTCCTTCCCTCCTCAGTCAGCTCCGCTTGCCCCCTGCCTGAGAGTTGGACTGCGGTCTAGACTTACATTTGTGTCTGGCTAGGCACCCAAGAGGCAAATGAAGCTCTGGGATTGGCTTGAGAATAGTGGAAACTGAGAGCCAAAGGCCTAGAGCCAAAGGGACAGGGAAGGACACACCCAGTCTTTATTAGCCATTTATTTGAACACCACCTGCGTTTGGCATGCGGAGGCAAAAATCAATCACTTCTTGTCCTCAGGGAGCTCACAGTCCTATGGGAGAGAGAAACACTTCAACACATAATTGTAAACCGTCATCTTGGATGGTTTGGGTGGTATGAAAACGGCAAGAAGGAACACCCAACCCAAGCTTGGGGTCCAGGGGAAGCTTCCTTGAGGAAGTGACACCCTGTCTGCAATTTAAAAGCTTGACCATATGAGTGGCAATATCGGGGATCATAGTGGAGGGAGAGCTCTCCAGGAAGAGAGCACGGCAGGAAAAAGGGCAAAGATAAGAACTGGTACAGATGGTGTGCATGGAACTGCATGTACTTTGCTGTTGCTGACTTTGCTATTGCTGAACATAAAATGTCGTACTGGGACTTCAAACAGAATAGCCTGGAAAGGTCAGGGGCTACTTCACAGATGACCCAAATGCCATGGTAGAGTTTGGAGTGGATCCTGCAGGCATTGTGAAGCTGCTGACGGCTTTTAATTAGAGGTGAGACCTAAATAAGTGTGTGTTTTGAGTAGATCATTGACCACTGTGTTGAGGATGCATCTGAGGAAGGACAGACCAGAGAGACCAGTTAGGAGGTTGTAGAGTGGGCTAAACCAGAACAGATAAAGGCCTGGATTGGGTTAGTGGTAGAGGTTTGTAGAAGAGTGAATCAGTTAAAAAACTATTCATGAGGCAAATTTAATCAGATTTGAGGATTGTGAGAGAGAAGGGAGCAGGAATGTCTCCTCAGTCTCTAGGTGGAGTGGTAGGGGAGATGGTAATACCATTCGCTGAGAGAGGGGACCAACCATAGAAGAGAAAGAAGGGCAAGGAGACCCTGGGCCATCTAGGTGATACCCAGCAGGCACTGGCTCTGCAGGGCTGATTGTCAGGGAAGAGGACTGAGCTGAAGATAAACATTTGGGAGTCATCAGCATATAGATGGTAGTTGAAGCTATAGGCTGAATGACCAGGAGTGTATGTGTAGAAGGAAAAGAACAATTGACCAAAGATGGAGTCCTGGGGACCAACAAAGTTCAGGAGGTGGGAACAGGAAGAGGATCCCAGAAGGAGACAAAGCAGTAGTCAAATGTGAGGAAAAACAGAATCTGATATTGTGGTGGCCAGGATTACAGAGAGTATTTTAAGGGGAGTGCAGCACAACAGAGGTTTGGTAAAATGAGGACTGACGACTCTCTGTGGGATGTGGTGAATAGTGGGTAACTGATCACCTCAGCCAGAGCAGCTTCGGTGGAGGTGGAAGGTGATGAGGACAGATTGCATGGTGGGGTATCAGGGAGGGTTTGAGAAAAAGAAAACTAGTGACCTTCAAAAGAAGGTCTTCAAGAGCAGGAGCACACTGGGCGTGTTTATCGGCAGACAAGTTGAGCCTTCCAAGAAGAAGAGATGAAGAATATCGGGGAGAGGTGAGAGTAAGGTGTGGCTGTGGTGGGAAGGGTTATGATCAAGGGCGTAGAAAGATGGATCCGTCTTAAGGCTTGTTCTCTGAGACTTCAGGGAAGATTGATGGTGGCCATGAGTGAAAGGAGAGAGGGCCGAGTAGGGGAAGGGCGTAGGGGTGCTCCCAGAGTGGACTGGTCAAGAGAAGATGGGGAAATGGAGCGAGGAGAAGGCCCAGCTGTGCTTGGAGACTAGTTTGCCAGTCTGCAAGAGATGTGGTTTTCTTCTGTGGTTCTCAGAAACCTAGATGTGGGGTGAGAAAAGACTGTCTGAGAATTAAAGTTTTCTGTTGAGCTAAAAGGGCAAGAGGGCCAGGGGTGGGGGAGCATGCGAAGGAGCGATGGAGCTGGGGGGACAGCCGTTTAGATCATCAGCACTGGATTTGGGCAGGGCGGGGAAGAAGCAAGTCTGAAGGATGGGGGAGATTGTAAGTCTGATGTGCTAAATCTCTCTGTGCGGTGATGGGTTTAGTGGACTTACGTCCAGGGCAGTTGCCGAGATGGGAGGTTGGGGTTAGAGAAAGGGATGTTTACATTTCTGAAGTGGATTTGTTCCAAGTGATGGCAAGAAGCAGACAGTGGCCTTGGCAGGAGGTATTTGAAGTAGAGTGGAGGTGAAGGTCGCTGGAGGCTGGTGGCTGACTGGTGTGTGGCTCTGTGGCTCTGAGGATAATGACAGGACGTGGTTGGAGCACAAAGCAGTGACCGACGTACCAAACGGTCTTCATTTAACAAGGGGTAGAAGCCCAGAGGTCTGTAGGCAGCGGTGATCAGCAAAAGCAGATGGCTGGGGACATATTTGGCCTCTGAAGAACATGAGCTCTCGTAGGAGAATGGCCTAAAAGCAGCCATGGAGAGACAGGAGAATGCCACCTCCACAGCCCGCTGTGGCCTCCCCCAGCCCCAGGCTGTGGAAGGGGAAGAAGAGTCCATTGACAAGGCCTGCAGTGGAGAGAGATGGCCTTGGGAGAGACCATTTTCAGGGAGACTGAGCAGGAGGAGGGGGTGGGAAGAGGCCGGGATACCCCTCCCCGGCCCTCACCCCAGCAAGGCAGCGTGGGGCGTCGGGAGCTCTGCCGTCCGGACAGAGCTGCGAGTTGATTCCCTGCCTCAAGTCTCCTCTCACCTCTCAGGCCCCCACACTCCCCTTGTGCACAGGGGGCGTGGTGATATTGGCCTGGGGTTTTCACAGGAGTGTGACAAGGCTCAGATGGAAGCAAGGATAGGGGATCATTTGGGAAGCTGAGTCATTCCCCAGGTATGAGGGCGTTACTGTCCCTGTCCTGTCTCCCAAGGCCCTCTCTCTTAGGCGTGCTTCTTGACTGCTGCCTTGTGCGGCGCTGGCCTCAGGGCCGCTCTTGTCTCCGGGGCACCTCCGCTCTCCCTCTGGAATGCGTGGGTCTGTTGGCCAGGTCCTGGTCTAAATCTCTTTTGATCCTGAAGAACCTCATAAGGCTACGAAGGATTCTATCTGTTTGGCACTAGAATTGTTTCGCTCAAAGTATTCAGCTGTTGAGTCTGTCCTCTCTTATTTCATTAATGGAGGATGAGTGGGCATTAGTTTGTTAGTCTGGCCTCCTGCCTTAGATGCGCCTCACCTGCCTTAGTCATTCTCGGACTGAGACCCTCGCCTTCCTTGAGGAGTAACCACCAGCTGCCCTCATCGGACGGTCGGGGAGAGTCTTGGTATAGACTGTGTGCAGAAACAGAGATAGGAAAAGTCAGACTCAGGGCACTAACTTGTCTTCTTCCTAGCTGTGTGATCCTGAGAAAGTCACCTCACTTCTCTGGGCCTCAGTTCCCTCATCTCTCAACCGAAGATGATGCTACTTCCTTAGATGGCTGGTTGCTCCTGTCTGTATGCCTACGAAAGCAGAAGGGTGTACTCTTCAGCTATCTGTGGCAAAGGCTAAAAATCTCCTCCATTTCCCTTCACCCTGGGTCCCAGGTCTAAAAGCCGAAGGGCTAAAAATAGAAGGGCTATTTTAAGGGGCAAACAAGCTGACGGGGGCAGGGGTTCCTTTATAATGTTCACATGCCAGAGCCCCCTTCCCCACACTCACTGCCACCTGGTGCGTGCAACAGCCGTCTCTTGCTTGGACCATGATAGCAGCAGACTGGTCTCCCTTCTGCCCTCGTCCAGAGTCTAAGTCTGTTATCAACACAGACTCTGAGAGTGATTCTTTCTGCTGGAAGCTGGTTCAAGTCACTCCTCTGCTCAAAACGGACCTACTGCACAGAAAAGTCAGTGGTTTTTCAGTGGTATATGAGGTCCTCTGTCCGCTGCCCCACCAGGCCCCCCGCCCCGCCACACACCCCCCTCTCAGAAGCTATCCCCTGCCCCTCCCTCCTCGTTCGCTCCTCTCTGGCATGCTGGCCTCCTGGCCTCACCTTACACGTGCCAGTCACTCTTCTGCCTCAGGGTCTTTGCTCAAGTGTCACCATTTCAGAGGTGTCTCTCCCGACCTGCCGCCTGCCCTCCTGGGGTGTGTGTTCTAACAGAAGAAAGCTGACAAACTCATAAATATATACATAGATAGATGATAGATAGATAGATAGATAGATAGATAGATATAGATATATAATAGATATGTAGATATAGACATATAAAATATCATCGTGCGTGTGTTTGATTCCTAGCTTCCCTGGGTCGAGGAAGTGGCTGAGATGGGCCGAGGACACACCGATGAGTGTAGCTTCTCTCTGCTCTCCATAGTCCCAGCAGCTGTTCTCTGTCAGCGTCACGCTGGACTGTTAGGGCCCAGAGAAGTGGTTGGCTCACAGAGCCCTCTCCAACTTCCTGTCAGTGCCTCTAAAAAGCCATTGGAATTTCTGTGGCTGTAAGCACCCTGCTTGCTCCAGCAACTTCTCCCCTTATCTGGTCAGTGCCCAGCTCTAAGTCCGAGATGTAACACGCTGGAGTCTCTTCCCCGGGAGCAGGGCCAGGCCAAGCCAAGCGTGCTTCGACTTTTAGACCTGGGAAGAGTACACCCTTCTGCTTTCGTAGGTGTGTTTCAGCTCACCCCTCAGCTGTGCACCTGGCATCTCCTGAGTGGTGAGCATACAGACAGGAGCAAGGCAAGGTCCCCTGCCTCAAGACAGAAGAATACACAAGTAACTAGTGTGTGATCCTTCATTCAGTGAACAAACCTGTTGGAACATCTGTAGCAGACCAGGCATCTTTTGCGTGTTGGGGACTGTAAAAGGAAAACCCTGCCCCCCTCCTGGGGTGTCTCCCCTACGCCCAGTACTCTACTCAACAGGACCTCACCCGGACATCAGATGTGCGGCTTCTCCACACCCCAAGCCATTGTGCCACACCCCCTGGGGGGCCGACAACTTAACTCCATCCTGACCCCCTCTGGAGAGAGCGTCACATCCCACCAGGCTGTCCCCCCCCACACCCACACACCACTTCAGATGTGACAGTCGAAGGTTTGGGTTGTCACCTGTGCTCCTGACTGGCTGGCAGTCAAGGGTTCCCACGATCCCCTCCTCGGGTTCACTCAGGAAAATGGTCACTTACTAGGTTACCAGCTTTTTACGAAAGGTTGTAACTCAGGAACAGCCAGATGGAAGAGCTGCCCAGGGCAAGGCCTGGGGGGGTGGGCACGGGCTTCCACGCCCTGTCCAGGGATGCCGCGCCCCCCACACTTCCGTGTGCTCACCAGCCGGGGGCTCTCTGAAACCCATCCTTTTGTTTTTTTATGGAACCTTTATTATATAGGCACGATTGATGAAGTCATTGGAGACTCTCCTTCCCAGGATGGTTGGCAACCAGCCCCCATCCTCAGGGGCTTTCCAGAAGTCACCTCCTGACCATACTCAGGTGTGGTTGAAAAGGGCTTGTTATAAGTAACAAAAGACCCCTTTATTTCTCTCACCATTTGGGAAATTCTAAGAATTTTAGGAGTTCTGTGCCAGAAACAGGACAAAGACCACATATGTATGTTTCTTATTAAAAACCACAATATCACAAGGAAATAGCAGGGCAGAAAATAGGAGAATACAGACAATAAACATAAATATATGAAATTATTTTAGGTAGTGATATGTGCTGGGAAAAGGGAGAGTAATTAGATTGAGAATAGCTCTGTGGGGAATGGAGTACTTTTATAGGAGGTCAGTGAAGTTCTCTGAGGAATTGATATTTGAAATAAATATTGAGAAGGAATCAGATATGCAAAGCCCTGGGAAAAGAACGGAGGAGATTGAAGGTCAAAGAATAAAGCATAGCCTATTCAAGAAGCAGAAAGAAAGCTAGTGTGTCTGGAGCATGGTGAGGAAGGGGTGGGGGCAGGGGGTTGAGATTCGGTCAAAGGTAGACAGGGCCAGATGATAGAGTACCTTCTAGACCATGCACGGTAAGGAGTTCAGATTTCAGAGAGCCCAGATCCCACAGGGGGAATGGGAGGAACTGTATTTGAGCCAAGATTGAGATAAAAGCTCTAAGCCGAGCACTAAATTAACATTGAGATTCCTGGCAGCCCAAGCAAAACTGCTTTCTGCCTCTGTGCATGAGGCTGTCCCAAGGTTAGCTTCTTTCCAGGCCTTGGAAGAGGTACAGGGTATTATCCACCAATTTTTTTCTTCCTAGACCCCAAGGATTTGGCTCTATTCTTGCCCATCTCCCAAAGTCTCTCTAGAAATGGTCCCCAGAGCCAAGGCAAAAGCAGCCTTACCCACCAGGCCCCCACTGAACCCATGTCATCCCCTTACTTATTGTTACCACTGACTCCAGTCCAGGCAGAGCCACAGCCTTACTGTGAAATTCTTCTGACCCTCTCCAGAATCAGATCTACTCTTAAAGAACAAAGATTTGACTTGAGAAGAGTCTCAGACCCTGATCCCTTTGTGGAAGAGCCCTTCCCTCCCTCGGCCACCTCCAGTTCTCTGCTCTGGCACTGCTGTGAGCCTTACCAGCAGGGCCATGGGGACATACCAAGGAGAGTGGTGGGGCGGGACAGACCAGTCCCCACCCATTATAGCAGGTTTCCTCCTGTCCTGCAGGGTCGGACCGATATCTGGAAAGCCGGGATGCCTCTCGACTGAGTGGCCGGGACCCCTCCTCATGGACAGTGGAGGACGTGATGCAGTTTGTCCGGGAAGCTGATCCTCAGCTTGGACCCCACGCTGACCTCTTTCGAAAACACGTAGGTGCCCCTGCCTGATCTCTCCCATGTCCACAGGGAGTCTTGCTTCCGAAACTTGTAGACTCTTAAAGGTCCCTTGAAACTGAGCACAGGAGACACCCTGAAAACAGAGACAGAATCTTGGGTCTCAAGCAGCCCTCGTTGGGCACCGAGTTCAGCCCACTCCTGTAGTGTAGGTCTGACTCGGTCACATGCCTGCTGGGTGCCTGGCTGGTGGGCTCGGACCCAGGGGAAGGACTCTCCTCTTTTCCTAGATGTGCTTGCTATCGCATTTGCCTGCCTTGGCCTGAGAATTGGGGGCCTCAGCCCAACTTAGAGTCCCCAGCCAGATGGCTCCTACTCTCCAGCCGCATCAGCCCCCCATCTTGTCCTTGCTCTTCTGTGAACCTCCAGCATCTCTTCAAGTGACCATTTGGCTGGGTGGCCAGGCACTGTTTCTGACCCGCCTGTGGTGACCATACTCCTGATTTGGGGTGCAAACCCATTTCCCCGCAGCCCCTATTGCTTGGTGCTGTTCTGCCCTTTGAGCACTCTGAACAGATCTGCTGCCTTTCATGGATAATTTCAGTCTTTCATGCTGGTGGGTTTGGGGGTGCTCTTGGGTCAAGCCTAAAGATCTCACAGCTGCTCTGAGCCTGGCTCACACAGAGGGGCCCTGGCCACTCAGGAAGGAAGATGACTTATGGAGTAACAGTTGAGGACCAGTATAAACCAGTCTGGGAGAGGGGACGAGCACATGATTGCAGGGGGGGGGCGGTGTGCTTATTGGAAAAGATGGAACGTAGCCGGACCCCAGTGGTTGGAGGGTGGGGCCACCGCCTCAGGCAGCAGGGAAAGGAAAGCAGGACGGGCGCTGGAAAGAGCACCTGCTGGGCTCGGTAGTAGATGTTGGGGGACAGCGGCCACAGAAGCTGTAGGGAGCAGGTAGGCTTTAGTGGCGCAGAACCTGGTGGCCAGAGCAGCCAGGCCTCTGACGGCCCCACCCCCCGCCCCCCAGGAGATTGACGGCAAGGCCCTGCTCCTGCTGCGCAGTGACATGATGATGAAGTACATGGGACTGAAGCTGGGGCCCGCGCTCAAGCTCTCCTTCCACATCGACCGGCTGAAGCAGGGCAAGTTCTGAGCCGGGAGACGCAGCCTAGACACCTGAGGGGTCCACCGGAAGGGCTCAGCATTCTTCTCCCCGGAAGGGGGGGCCAAGCAGCCCACTGCCGGCGCCTCAGTGGATTCCGGGCCACCTCAGGACTCGGGAGGCCGTGTGGAGCCACCACTGCTCCCCGCTCCTGCCATGATACGTCCTTCCATGAAGGACCGACGAGGGGAGAGTGTGGGGCCCAGGGCTGGCGCTGCTCTTCCCCTCAGCCCTGCCTCGGCTCTGAGGTCCCTCTGTATTTATTTCTCAAGCCTGGTTGGCCTCCCACTGGGCGTTTAGACTGAACACCTTTCAGGTGATGGAGGAAGGGGCTGACCCCTGAGGCCTCAGAGGATAGGGCCCTGAATGGACACTTGGGCCCAGTCCCCCTGCCACCTGCTGGGCCTGGTGTGGCACCCCACTTCCCCACAACTCCTGCCACCTCCTCACAAGAGCTCCAGACTCCAAACTCATGGTGCAAACCTCTACCTTTTTTAAAAAAAAAAAAAGACCTTTTCTTATTGTTTATTGTTTCTGGCACGAGGGCAAGCCCCCCAGTTCATACTCCTCTCACTCCAGACACTGGGTTTCAGGAGAGAGACAGCCCTGCCCTGGTCCCAGAGAGGCATGGCCCCTTTCCAAGGACATCACCCGAGGGCACTTTCTCTGTGGGATGGACACATCCTTCAAGCCTTGACCGTATCACTCAGCATGGGGAGGAGAGGGTTCCTGTCACCTTCCCCTCTTCCTCCACTGGGCCCTTTGCAGCCCGGGCCTCATCTGTGGGAATGGGAGTCCCCTGCCCCACACTGTCCCCCACCACAGCTCCTTGCCCTGGCCAGAACTACTGCCAAAGGAGGTTAGGCCCCGTGATTCTAGGCCACGAAGGCCATAAGGTGGACGGGAGGGGTCTGCAGGCTGGAATCTGGTTGTACTCTCTCACTGTCCAGATGCTTCCTTTATAAGCAAGTCAGCAGCACAGCTGCCCCCACTGCCGTCCGGACTTCTTTTATGTCCGTTTGTTTATAAATAAAAACCAATATAGATGCCAGTGTGGTTTTAATCAGTCGGCAGAGCACTCCCCTTTCTTGGCCCTAGTTTCCTCATCCTTAAAGGAGGCGTGTAGACAAGATGATCCCCAAGAGTTCTTCTGATTCCAGCAGTCCCTAAAAAGTAGGCTGGCTGCCAGATGCCCACTGGGAAGCAGTGTGGAGTCCGTTCTCTGCCCTCAGAGGGCTGCGCTCTGGTGCAGCGAGACAGCAGGGAGCGCGGAAGCTGCTCGAAGCCCAAGCAGGAAGAGCAGTAGTTGGGTCAGCAGCTCCGAGAGCCTCCCTGGCTGGGTTCCTCCTTGTCGCCGTCGTCAGGTGAGGAGAGACGCAGGCTCGCCCAGCTTGCGCCGACCTGGGGCCAGATACTCCAGGCCAGGGCCACACAGCCTCAGTTCTGCTGGGGCTGCAGGAGAAGGTGTAACGGACACTGTCGTGTCACTGCGGCCCCCATGAACTACTCCACAGGAATTAGAGTCAGTCTTTAAATCTTCACGGCAAACCCATTTGATAGATGAGGACATGTAAGGTCGCCGCCCAGGAAGCACCAAAGCAGGCGTTTGAAGCCAAGTCCTCTGACACCAAGGCCAACGTGGAGGTGCTAGTCAGTCTGTTTGTGAGGCTTTGGGTGGGTCATTTCCCTTCTTTGGGCCCACGTGGCTATGAGGGTTTCAGATGAGACTTCTGAGGGCCCTACCAGCTCTCACCCTGGCTGGTGCCACCTTGGTGACTAACTGATAACATCTTTTGCACTTGGCCCCTGTGAGGTTCTCACCACGGTTCCCGTGATGCACTCTGGGTCAGGGCTGCCAAACCAGAGCAGGACTCTGTTCTCCACAGACTCCTGGACACTGGGGTGTGGTAGGCTGTGCCGATCGTTCATGGTACTCCCAAAGAGGGCCTTAGGGAACCCTGACAGCGAACTTCCGGATGTGATCCTTACCCGAGAGACAGACGCAGGGACTGAAGGTAACACCATGTGGAGGCAGGCCAGACACACTGCAGGGCTGTGCCTGTGGAGTCGGTCAGCATCCCCCTTGTCACCAAGAGCATATGGTTTCCCAGCTTACTTTTGCGGAGTTATGTGCATTCTCTCATGTAAACCTCAGCCCCGCCTTTTGCAAGTGGGAAAACTAAAGCTTGGAGAGAGTTGAGGTACTTGCCCCAAAACTCCGTAGCTAATCAGGGGTGCCTGTAACACCCTCCGGGGGGCCGCTGTCCCAGATCCTGCTGACCATTCAGACTTCCACAGGCTAGCCTGGGGGTGGCATTCACCTTGACGGCTGTCAGACGGAAACACCTGCCAGCAGGACGGCATGAAGCAGTCCCCTTCGGCAGGGTAGTCCCTGCAGAGCCCACCGCCATCCAGGTGACAGCTCGGGTGCAAGGGGATGGGACGTGTCAGGGAGCAGTGGGGTTTACCTTGGCTTCTCAGCACCATGCCCCGGGGGAGCAGTAACTCCCTAGTTTGTAGGCATAATGACTCTGTGGACATCACTTCCAGATCCCTGCAAAGGATGTGCCCCATTGACTCTCTGCACTAAGGAGGCCCAGAGCTGTGCCTTTTATGCAGATGTTCCTTGTCCAGATAATTTACAGTTCGGGTTCATTCTTACCCTAAGCAACATTGCCTTAAAACAGTTGACATTCCACTTTTACCTGGTTTCCAAGGGAACAGAACTAGAAAGGTAACCAAATGTCAGGTTCTGTAGGAGGGGAGAGGATTTGTTACCCCTTCACTCTTACTGCCCTAACCCCTGGGGACAGAACTGAGTGTCTTTTCAGGAGGAAAAAAAAAAACTTTTGAAATTATTTCCCAAAGCCAAGCCTTCTAATAGTGACCCACAGTCATCCAGAGAAGCTGAAGGGGCCTCGGCAGGCCCATGCACACCAGCCGAGGTGCAGGGGAGACCACTCCATGAACCCCAACAGTTCAGTCCCCCACAAAATGGGAAGGCATCTAGGACTGAGGGCCAAAGGCCCCCTGGCACCAGCTTCACATGCCCCCCCCCCCCAATACTGTGACAAGGAGAGGACATTGACTCCAGCGCTGAGGAGCATCAGGAAGCCCGTGTGCTTGAGGTGACAGAAGAGTCCAGGCTCTACCTAGGCACCACCTGTGCCCTCCCTGCTGCCGGCCATGTAGTCCCTGTCACCTCTGCCTTGTCACGCTGGAGCCTCCACAGCCTCCTTGTGAAATAACCTGAGATCTCTGTGGGCCGTGGCTCTGGTGGTCCACGTGGACACGGTGTCTGCCCTCACACGGAGGCCACGATCCCTCCTCAGGAAGAGCTGGAAGGTGGCTCCCCCCTCCTCCCTGCAACCAAAGCTAAAAACTTGGGAGAACCTTCTTGCCTTGGAGAGCCCAGACACCCCTCCCCTCATCATCCCTCCGCTTTTTGCACCTCCTTACCCTAATTCCCCAAGTCGCCCCATTCATCCGGGAAGCTCTACAGCTGGAAACCTCCAGTCCAGGGGCCATGACAGCCAAGCGTCACGACTACATTTATGCCCGGCCTGCGACACCAAAGCCGCCGCGGGTGCTTCCAGGAGCCCACAGCTGACGAGTCCCAGTGTAAAGGCACGGGACCCGAGACAACTGTGGGTGGCTGGGGCTGGACCCTGTCAGAGGTCGGCAGGAATCAACAGGCAGATGGCCATACACCAGGCGAGGGCTCAAGACAGGAGCGCCCTGGGGCCCAGATGGCAAAGGCTGCGTGCACAGCACTTCTCCCCTGAGTTCCCGAGTCTGTTGTCCTGACGTCTCCCACACAACGGCTGAGCTCAGTCCCCACCTCTGCCCCTGCACTCTGCGCCTCGCCTAGCCTCCCGGACACCCATCCTTGATGTGCTTCCCAGGATCGTGGCCACATGGGGCCACCAAGTGGCCACTCTCCAGATAACACAAGAGCCATATCCGTAGCCTCCCTCTCCCCCTTCATCTTTGGGTCCACCTCACATCCTTACCTTTGAATTCAAGAGTTGTTTGCCTCTGGCTCAAAGTGGAGTCTGTCAGGAAGGTCACGGACATCCACTGAGGGGATAAAGGGGCTGCTTACCCCGTAACACGGAGCCTGTGTCCGCCACTGCCCGGCGGCCTCTTAGAAAGCGCGATGCCCTGAATAACCCAGTTACACTGCCGTACGTGTCAGTATCTGAAATAGGATCGTGGAAGTGTACTTCGTGCTTACAGTGACCGTTTTCACCCCTCCCCGTGGAAGGAAGCAGGACGCCTGTGCTTTTCAGCAGGACGCGGAGGTAAAAGGTCCCGGGAAGTAGGTAGTGAGGTGGTTTGAAGAGACCCCCAGGAGGAGCAGGGGGAGTGTGGGCGGTCGGGTGCGGCGGGTGGCTGACAGCAAGGCCTCTCGGGAAGGGAGCCGTGTCCTCTGGTGGTGCTTACAGCTTTGGTCTGTCAGGGCGCCTCTCCTGGCCGGCCGTTCCCCGCGACGCAGTGCAACCCCACTGCGCCCTCCTTCTTGGGCAGCTACGACCCCGGCTGAGCGGTTGCCGAGAGAGCGGCCCGTCAAGGCCGGGCCTAGACGGGCCTGAAGGGGGGCGGCATGGAGAGCTCGCAGCCCTCATCCCAGAGCCGCGCACCACCACCGCTCGAAGCTGCCCCAGCCCAGCTTCTGCCTCGTCCCTGAGGGAAACAGAGCTCCCTTAGCCTCTTCAGGATGGCTGCCCAGAGAAGGGGGGGCAGCCCGCACGGCCCCAACAGCTTCCCCAGTCTGAAGCATCTGCCTCTGCCCTCCCCCCTCCCAGGACTTCCAGAAGCTGCGTGGTGGGAACAGCTACCTGCAACTGCATAATGAAAGCATTTCTCAAAGCCCCCCTCCCCGCCCAAGAACAGATTGCTGCGTTAATAAAGGCATCATGGGTATCACCCATGTCCTGGTCCCTGTCGAACAGCAGGTGACAGCCCTGTCCTCAAAAGGGATGGCAGCTCTTGACTGAGTGCTCAGGGCTCTTCTGGCCGGCAACCTCCGCCCCTGGCGCCGTGCGCTCTGATTCATGCTGGGAGCGGCCGGGCTGGCGGCGCTCAGCCGAGCCTGGGGCCGAGGACGGAACGGGAAGGTGGGGACTGAAGAGGACCGGCGTGGGCACCGGGGCCAGGAGAGACATTACAGGAGGAGGAAGTATGTCCTTGGCCCCGGGCCCCAGGGACTCCGGGAGCGGCCCAGAGGGAGCAACACAGCCAAACTGTAGCGTGTGATGTACGTAGTGTCCCTACCTTGGGGATGGGAATGGGGGAGTTTCCCCAGCCCAGGCCTGAGGCTGGCCGAGACATTGGCATTATCAACTCCCGTGAGATCACAGAGGGGGTTGCGCAGGCCCCGCCCGCCTCCCCCGCAGCTCTGGTTCTGGCTGCCCCTCGCCAGGCCCCCAGGTGCCCCCGGGGAGCTGCTGGCCAGGGGTCAGGGGTCTGTGGGAGCTGAGGGCTGGCACCTCCCACGCTCCCCCGGGAACCATCAGGACATGAGGGTCAGAGGCCTCCCTCTTCCTCCTGTTCCTGTTTGTCCCGAATGCCCCCACCCCGGCCGTGCTGGGCCCCAGGCCCTGACCTTCTCAAGGAGCCAATCTGAAAAGATGCAGGCTGGTGGCAGCCGCCCCACAGAGCGGAGGCCAGGTGTGCGAGGGTGAGTGGGGGGGCCGCTGGGTGCCAAAGGTGCACAGCTCAGGAGTAAGGCCCCCGGCCTGGCGGGAGGGGGCGTACTTAGGAGCCCCGGCTCTGCCCCTCCTCTCTTCTGCTTTCTGGACTCCGTCTAGACCAGGCCACGAGCCCCCTCAAATTAGCTGTGCATGTGTGGAGGCCATCTGTGGGAGGGGCCGAAGCTTTCATCGGTCAGGGAGCCCCTGCCCTAAATCCCTCAGGCGCAGCCCTGACTGGTTCACAGCCTCGGCGAGGCTCACCCCAGCGTCGGAGCAGGCGGGGAGGAGCCCTGGGTGACGGCTTCCTCTCCAAAGGCCCCTTGAAAAGGTTCCCCTGGGGCCGGGAGGGAGTAGTCATCTCTGATGGGCAGGAAATCCGCAGCTTTTCCTCCCGCCTGTGGCCTGGTGGGGGGAGGACAGGAGGCCTGCGGCCCAGAAGGGGATGCGGCGGGGCCCTGAGAGCGGAGTCTGAGGGGCCCCTCTGCCCCTCTTGGGGCACACCCCCTCGGTCTTCCCTGCAGTGGAATGGAGGGGCAGGCCCGCACGCCCTGTTGTCTGCCTCACCGCTGACTCCCCTCTTTCCTGTCCTAGGCCTTGGGTGGGTGGCAGGCCCCTTTCGGCTGGCCCTCTACCGTCCCTCCCTCTCTCTGGCCCTGCCCAGCCCCTGCCCATGTGTGAACCTCCCAGGAGCCTCGGCAGCCCCTGAGACCCAGGTCGGCCCCGGGAGAAACATCCCAGAAGCCCTTCTGAGGGAGACCTCTCCAGAGACCCCCACCCCAGGAAGAGATCACGGCAAACCCAGGTGCAGGAGCCCCTCATGGAGCCCCCAGGCAAGCAGCCCCCACAAGAGCCCCCCGGGGACGAGTCCCCACCTGAGGACTCGGGCCTCCAGACAGCACCCAGCACGCACATTCTCTATGTGGGCCACCTGAACCCCCAGTTCTCGGTGCCTGTGCTCACCTGCCTGCTCCGGGACGCCCTGGAGCGGCTGGAGCTGCCGGTGGCCCGCGAGCACATCGAGGTGGTGAGGCGCCCACGGAAGGCCTGTGCGCTGGTGCAGGTGGCCGCCCACGAGGCCACGCTGGCCTCCCTCCCCTGGCGCCTGCAGACAGCCCTGGAGGAGCACCAGATCCCCGAGGAGCTGGCGGCCCGTGGCAAGGAGCTGGTGCTGGCCGAGGGCCCGGGGCCCTGGAGCCACAAGGCGGTAAGTGAGGCTTGCCCGGAGCCTCGCGGGGCGGGGGAAGCCTGGGCGCGGCCGGGCTGTGCTGGGGCGCAGGGGCGGGGGGTGGCGGTGTGTCTTCGAGGAGCCGGGAACAGCTCTGCAGACTGGCGGACTCCCAGGAGGAGCGGCACTTACGGTCTGCCTCCAGCCTGGAAGCCTGTGAAGAGAGGCCACAGTGTGGGCCACCCCCCCCTCCCCGGGGTCCTTCTGCATTCCGTCCTCTGGGCCGGAGGGGACGCGTGTTTTCTCCTGGCCCACCTCACTCCTGCAGTTGCCCGCCGGCGGGGCCGCTGCAGGCCAGGCGGTGAGGCGGAGAGCAAGGGCTGGGCCCTGCCCACCAGGAGCCCTCATAGCGCTGAGCAGGGCCGGACACAGCCAGTCGCCAGCTGCGGGCTGCGGGGCAATCTCACAGAAGAACGGAAATCCCAGCTGGGATTTAGGGAGTGGAAGGACGTTCTAGGCAGGGGGACACGGTGAGGGGCAATGTCCCATTTGAAGAAGAGCAAGCCATTTGGTGGCCCTGGAGCTCCGGCTGAAGGCTGCCAAGGAGCTGAGGAAGAAAGCTGGGCCACAGCGCAGGG